CCCCAAAACCCCAAAACCCCAAAACCCCAAAACCCCAAAACCCCAAAACCCCAAAACCCCTGAACTAATTATTAAATTGATAATAATTAAGATTAATATGAATATGGACAACATGGCAAACAGGGGGTTCAGGAGAAGTATTTATAAACCTGCACCTCGAAAACGTTCGGAACAGGGCCCAAAACTTCCCTCATCCGATTTACGTTGATCTAGGACTCAAAACTTTACTGTTTTAAAGCAACCAATCAATTCCAAGAGTCCCCAAAGATGCAAGGCTGAAGGGTCTAAATTTAGAGATGGCTCTAAACGCAATTCTTCCCTGAGTTTCATCAAAAATGCTGGAAGTGTCAGGAAGGAACAATCTTGCAAATTGATGCCTGCAAAAGTCAAGTCTGTAAGGAAGCCAGTGCACCAGGACCTCGCTCCTCAGGGATGTAATGCAAAATCGCGATTAAGTCGAGAAGACAGGGAAGATGATCATGAGCAAAATGAAAATTTTGTTCAAGAATTAGAAGATAGGGTCGAAGCTGATTTAGAAGTTGAGAATATTTTCTTAAATCTTTCACAGGAAGAAGTCTCTCAGATTTCAATGTCCTTGCCTGAAAGACCTACTAATCCTATTGTCAATGATCAGGTATTCCTCCAAGGTAATGAAGATCGTATTGATCAACAGAGTAAACTGTGCTGCCTTAGTCTCGAGAAACTTACTTCTTTAAGCCAGAGAGAATGCAGCATTGAGAGACAGAAAAGAATATTCCAGGAAGATTTAGAAGCCCAGAATGAAATCAAGGAGCTATTTTTATCTCCATCTACAAAGATAGATAGCAGAGCTTCTACCTTTTATTCATTGTCATGCTCTTCTGAGATATCCTCTTTTGAGGTTGAGGTGTCTAAGCCTTTATTAAAAGAGATTTATATGGAAAACTAAGCATCCCCAGAGGTCCTAATTTTCAAGTCAACTGGCTTGTTCAGTGAAGGTAAAGTTCTATTAATACAGAAAACTAATAACCAGCGATTATGTGTGCTCAAATAAAAATGATAATGCAATATTTTGGATAACCTTGTCCAAGATTGGCCTGCTATCATGCCTATTTTTGAGTGGAGCTCTGTACCCTAGTTTCAAACTTCCTTTGAGATGGCTCAGCCAGAAGGTAGAAGGACTTCCCTGATCTAGGTGTGTATCATTGCTCATGCTTCGCATTGGTTATGCTGTATTTCTTGCCTTCCAATGTAAACTATTTTATGAATTAATATTAATTGCTCAATTCAAAATGTTTAATATTCCTTGGGGTTTTGGGGTTTTGGGGTTTTGGGGTTTTGGGGTTTTGGGGTTTTGGGG